GACACGAGTGGTGTGACAAGTCTACTGTAGGTAGTTTGTATTGTAACAAATGGTGGAAAATCAACAAGCATTATTCAATATCTTATTTGCTATAGACTGACACAGAGTGAAGTTCATTTGATATTAAAAGAAGAGTAAATGATCTCATTAATAAACAACACAATCACTGGCAGACATCTGCAAGACTTAAGAAATAAAACAAACACTGTACTGTACAAGACAATATCATGCATAAGGATATACTGTACTCCTTCACACAGAGGCTGGTAGACCTACCGGCCCAAGCTGTGGAAACAACAGTACTGGGCTTCAAATTAACCCTTGACAAAATTATCAAGAACAATGGAGGGATCCTACACAGGTGACTGCCCTCCTTCCCTGCCACCTCTAGTGGGTGACCATCAAGTAAATATATCTAACATGTTTACCCGGGAAGTGACGGACACCTCAGAAGGCCGTATATGGTATAGTAGAGTTACGCAATAATTAAAGTAACATGCTGGGGCCAAGAGAACAAATATATTGAACCAAACTTCACTAATTCATACTACAGTACATAAGGGTGGAATTAATAAGCTGATAATTCCAATTACAAGTGTAAATTTTACATAAACTTTCAGCAGTCAAATTAAGCACTGCCTGCCTCACCCTGACACCACATTACACTACACCACACTACACTACACTACAGTATCCTTATAAAAACAAACTAGCAAAGATATAAAGTATATACGTATTCTGCATTGTATTTTAAAATTGTGTGCATTCACAATAAATACTGTGTACAGGTCAACATAAAAAACAAAGCACTGTATGCTAATCAGTACTGTACAATAAATGATTAGCATAAACAATAACAGTACCAAGGAAGACACTGCCACTCCCTCCCTCCTCACATGTAGTAAAATACTGAACATATTGTCATATACGTATGGTACAGGTATATACTGTACTGTACTCTATAAAAAGTATATTAATTCAAAATAAATAATATAGAGTATACTGTACTGTACATGGTATAATACAGTACAGTACAGTAGTGTATTATATATGTGGTTGGGTAAGGAGCACTGTAAATAGCTATATCTCTATACTGTACTCAAGTGCTATTAACACCACTCTGTCCTGTAGATATAAAACTGTATAAATGATCATATATAGCAGTAGCTATAGTACTAAACCCATTTAATAATATAATACATTATTATAGACATGGCAGGTTTATGCTACAAGGGTTGAGAAACCTTGATACCAAAACTACAGTAAACTCCGCACCACCCTCAGCCTACCCAACCCATACAGTATCTTCATAATTTCCTACTTATCAGCACATAATTAAATTTCCCTTTCTTGACAAAGAGAGCTGAAGCACTAAGTAAGAACGTGGTGAAGAACTAGTCACACTATATTAAGTTACTACAACTACCTGTACTGTACTGTATGTCACAAGCTAGCTTAACTGACCAGCAGAGCTTCTCTCATTTAACAGCACTGACAATAAAACACCTAAGAGCCTCCACAAGTATAATTAAATTAAGTACTGTACTGTACATATGATACATCTATACTGTACTGTACATACATAAAGGAAGGAAGGTAAATACTTGAAACGATGTAGTACAGTAATTCAAGTTCAATATAAATCATCTTAACTATCACTCAAAAGAAGCATACAATTTAAATACCAGACCCATAGCTAACAGGAATAAATGTACGTACACTATTATGGTTTTATTCCAATTCTATTTACATTCGGCAGGTTAGTTGGTGTTTATTCAGTGACGGCCAAGTTTCATATATAAATAGATGCTTCAACTAACAATTTACAGTACCGGTAAGCCTTCTCAATTATTGGAGTCCCTTTTAACATGTGTTAAATCCACATTTGTTCTGATTTTACACTTGGCAGCAAAATCATATAGCTACTGTACTGTATTCAAGTGACATGTTGCTGGGTTCATAATTTTTTCTAACCTAACCTAACGTAACCTGACTGTTTACATGGTACTTAGACCATTCCTAAATACAGCACAGTACATGATTGGTAATCTAACCCAACTTAAATTAATCGTCTAGGTGGGACGGCAAAAGTTGGACAGACAAAGATACAGATGGGGACCGACCACTTGTGACACCATATATACTGTACTATAACTTACTACTAGATAAGCTGGGGTTGTTTGGTTTGTACTGTATTTGAAAATTTCACATATTTGGGGGAATTGTAACCCTGTACAGCTGCTCTCCTTAGTTATGATTTTATTGCTAATGGACACAATGACACCAACGTACTGAATATTAATCAAATTGTGGTAGGTACAGTACTGCAAAATAGTTGACTTATGTACTGACGTCAGATAAAACTTTGGAAATTTAATGGGCATAACCCTGTGCAGTAAGTAAGTAGTTTTGTACACTATTACCATAAATAATATAATAATGAGAGGAATATCCACTTTGAAACAGATCAGGGCAAACACAACCTAAATTAAGTAACCAGCGGAGCCTCTCACCTAACACCACACTACTGGAGCTTGCACTCGGTAAAAATGAACTTCATACAGTTACCATGCGAGGGATTTTGAGCATTAGGTCTAGTCTGATATAGCAAGGGACTTTCAAATCTCTTCTAATTACTCTACAGTAAACTCTAACCAAGGAAGGTTTTCTTCAATGAACATGTTATTTCTCTGGTACTTAAATTACCTATACAATACACAAAATGATTCACAACACTTTATATGAATCCACCATACACACTTTGTTGACTGCCTCGTTAAACGTAACATTCAATTATTCACCCATATGGTATCTCTCGCCTTCAATGTTCTGCTCACTTTCATTAATTTTCATTTCTTTTAAGACAGAGTCATTTGCTCCCCACCAGAATGTCTGTTTAAGAGAATTAGTGACCCAGTACTGTATTAGCTCTACCAGACCAGTTTTGGTTTCAAACTGTCTCACTGACCACCAACAAAGCTCCCCAAATATCAAATAACAGATGGTAATTCACACTCCAACATATTCATACATAGTGCACAAAGTTGCACCTGTGAAAATAACTTACGTACATCAAAATGAAATGCATTAAGTGAAGTGCTAACATGTAACAAACTCCTCACTCCCCCAACAACACACCATAACCTGCCATCATGTGGTTTACACTTGTTTCTGTCTCGACTAAAATGAAAATTAAGACAATTAAATCTGAGAGCTCTTGATTCACTATATTTTTCTAAGGGCAGTGAACAAACCAAGCTTAATGCTTGTTGAAGTAAATCAGTATTAATGTTTAATATACATGTCAGTGTGTGTACCAATATCTAATACTGTACTCTGCTGAAAGTGATTAATATACATGCTAGCCATTTATCAAACTAAAAATGATTGCACGTTATCAGAATGTAATCCGCACTACTCACTTTCACAATAACTTTAAGGATAAACTCTTCATTTTTCACTTGCATAATGCTTACACTACTGATAACACTCACATGGAAACATTTGAAATGCTGTAGTTACTGTACACAAAAGCCATGCTCTTAGTTCTAAATAAGAGAAGGAAAAAAAGAAGCTCCAAGATTTACTCAAATGAGAGTCACTACAGTCAGGCAGTACTAAGATCAACACAAAAATGGCCTCGTCTGATGTCAAGAAATGTGAACAAATAAATCAAATCTTCACGTCTGTGTTTTTATGCAAACTAGTTTCATCCAAAGTAGCGTAAACATTTCAACTCACGGTCACCTCTTGCCTCGGCTCATGCAACACGGATAATCCACCAGCCAGACCACGACTCGTAAGAGACATGAACCAAACAAACCTAACTTAACCTTATCACAAGCTTAAACTGTCTTGGCAACCTTAAGTTAAATGTGTTTGGTGATGTCTGCTTCACCATGAGATATATAATGTAAGGTGTAAGAATACTGGTAATAGTTTAGAACAGCGTCATAACTCTACTTCATCATGGTGGCTCCAGTACCACACACAAAACAAACCAGATAAAGCCATCCTAACTTACCACAATTTCCTATTACAATATCATTAGGTTAGGTTTTGGTGGTTCACATTTTCTGGTTTACAAAATGGATTATACAATTTCCATGAAACACAAACTAAATGAAAACTGGAAAATACAAAGTTTAAGACAACTACGGTACATGAAAAACCTCGGTAAGTAAAATATTCCTTCTACAAAGCTTAAAATAAATACAAAGAGGTTAAACTCGACAGCAGAGCCGTATTAACCGAATAACGGGATTTCTAATCTATCTTTACCAAAATGACATCACACGCTTCATCCAATCGCACCCCGGCCCACAAGCGCTCACTAGTCGCACATTACCTTAGTCTGTAGCTCACTACCGCCCAGTCGGCATTACAGGAAAACGCGACAGCCCGGACTCCATGGTGTCTGGCGTCCAGGAATCACCACCACTGACTGAATCATGATGCTCCACCACCAGCAGAGTTCATAAACAACTCTACATGTTGCTTATGTTCAATTATCTTGTAAGTTTCAATATTAATAAAGTTTAGTGTGGTGAAGAGGCCTAGTGTGAGAGTGGTGCTACACAGCCTACACCAATAACCATACAAACTTTGTATTTTTTTACTGATTGTGTGATTAATGAGCAACAGAAGAAAGTAAATAATATAAGTAAGATAAATTACTGTAAGTGTTGACTGTAAGAGAAGAGAGCAAGAAGGCCGGTACTACCAGAAGACAAGTGGTGGTGGGCAAAAAGTGGGCAGGGCACTGACTGCCTCCTCCCGTGCCCACACCAGTTTTCTCTCCCACCATATCCTTCACTCTTATTCAACATCCAAAAATACTAATGCCATACCATTTTTCATTCCCAGAGTTTCCGAAACGCGACAAAGATGATGTAAATGGAAACTAAAGAAGGAAACATTGTATTATGAGCGGCCTGTCCTTGAATGTTTTGACAAGAGGGGCTAGGCAGTGGACGTGGCCTGACATGCACCAGACTTACTTTGTGTGTGTAGCCGCCTCGGCCGCGCTCCCGCGCTAATTTTCACTGTCACTGCCTCTTCCTCGCTTGTGTACCCATAACGTTTTAAGAGAAGGCTTGTGGCGGTGAATATTCAGGTGAGGAGCTCCTCAACTTGGCGGACACATCTCTCCCTCCTCCCTTGGCCGACCCCGAACATCCGGGAACTCTATGTTTCCATGGCTGGCAACCTTACCGAGTACGCAGCCGCAGACATACCTACCAAGAATTAAACCAATTACACACTCTCAACATCAAGTGTTATACAGAGCTCCAATCGTAAGTATTTCCTATTATTAACGTTAAGTGACAATATTCTTCTAAACCTGCTTAGTTTAGTTTGCACACAGCACGTCTGGCAACTTGTGGGAATCGTGACTCGGGAAACACGGAAACTGGCAGCCCTGGGTGCCGTGCTCACCTGGATAAGCCTCAGGCAATTATGACAGGTGCACAAGAATCCAACTTTCCCGTAGCACCCTCATACACCTTAATTAACTAACTCCATAGCTTTATTATCTCTTCGATACTCGTCAACTACGCAATTTAAACTATGAAATTAAAAAATACATCCGAGAAGTAATTACGAATATTTTTTTTCAGAAAATGTGGGCAACTGATAACTTAGCATCGTCCATATAGCATACCAAATATTATCAAAAACTTATAATATTTTATTGTACATTATTTTAGAGGTATTAAAAGTGATAAATAAATCCTAATTAACTAATATAAGGAACTAATAGTTAAGTACTGAACTGTTAAAAAGTTCATCATGGATATATTCTTACAGTTTGTTAACTAATTTTAGCATCTTGATCTATTTCCCTGAGGACATCTATAAGAATAATACAAATGTCGAATTCTTATCTGGCGACTTCACAGAAAGATTTACTTATCGTATATCATTTGCGTTCATACATTAAACTTTAATAGTACTTGTATCTTTAGTTGTAAAAATGAAAATTAATATATCAAAAGGCAACTCTGGCTGTCTGGCCCAAGTCTGGTAGCATCATTCCAGACTGAAATATTGTCCTGGCATATTCTTTCAGTGCCTTATTGTGCCCAAAACTACAGAAGAATACATTGTTTATCAGGAATATGTTGCTTTCTTAAAATTGAACTATATTTTTAGATCACATCAAATATCAGAAAGTTTTACACGGGTACTCGAGTCACTGCAGCGAAGACAAAGCTTAAGTTTGATACTGGAAAACGGACACCGTCGGGGGATGCTGGGAGGGAGGACTGGCTGAGGGTGAGCTGCCTCCCACTTCCTTTAAAATATACATAAACTAGATATCTCATGATCGCTTGCCTTGTTCCCATGGAAACGTGGACGTTCGCACGTAGTTAAATGTTAATCACTTATTATGTGACTCGATCTTGATCTTAAACCAACTTTGAGGTAACACACACTGGCAAAATTTGAAGGCAACTGTAGCGAGCCACTCGTTTCCCGCAGCTATAACAGGTGTTACTGCTATGTGCGTGCCCACGTCACCAGGAAACAAATGCATTCAATGGAACCATATCACCACAGTAGCAAAATGTGACGTAATATGGCATGATGGGATATCAACCAAGAAAATATTTGTGTAAATTACTCCTGTTTACAGATGCTATGTTTTGCACAAAAGTCCCCCAGAAGACATATTATTTAGATATAGTTATATGTAGATCAACTTACATATTCATCCCAGATAATTCTGCACAGTATATAAAATTTCCTATTTAACTCATCAACCTACTATGGATGGTATAGGAATTAAATAACTAATTTAAAATCTTTTGTTAGTGTGTGTCGCAGTTAGTCAGGTAATTCGTCCCTCCCCCCCCCTTCTCTCTCCCTCTCTCTCTTTCTCTCCTCAAGTCTGTACATATATGATTCATCAAGAGAGAGTGGCGTCCAGTGTGCAGATGCGACAACCAATGTATTTCGCACCAAATTTCCGCCACCTGCACCCTACCTCACACAGCAGACTAGCTTGTGGGGGGGGGAAACGGGGGAGTGGGGGGTGAGAGGGCTACTGCCAGGGGAGGAAAATGAGTGTGCTGGCGACGAGTAATGAGTAATTAATGAGTAATGAGTGAATTCATGCCACCCTCAAGCCCAGTCCCACCCCCCTTCCCAACTCCCGCAAGTCCTAGCGTCAAACTCCACACCGAGGAAAATGAGGGTCACTACTCCACCCCCAATACATTTACTCCCCCCTCCACCTTTTTCCTTCATCTCTCTCTCTCTCTCTAGCGCTGTTCCTTTATCTCTTAAGCTCGCTCTACCTGTGTGTCTGGATTGCTCCGCCCTCCTCTCTCTCTCTCTCTCTCTCTTTAGCTGCCAATCACACGGACGCCCTCTCCTCCTCCAACACCACACCTCCCATTTCTATACTCCACCAGACCCTCACTCCTGCTAGACCACAACTCCATTACACAACCACCACACCACACACACCCCACACCACACCCACAAACCCTCCCTCCCTAAACCCACACCCACCACTAAACCCACACCCACACCACTAAACCCACTCCACTATTAAAACCACACCACCTTAACCACACAACCACACCACCTTAACCACACACCCACACCACCTAACCACACACCCACACCACCTTAACCACACACCCACACCACCCAACCACACACCCACACCGCCTTAACCACACCCCCACACCACTAACCACACACCCACACCACCCAACCACACACCCACACCACCTTAACCACACACCCACACCACCTTAACCACACACCCACACCACCTTAACCACACCCACACCACCTAACCACACACCCACACCACCTAACCACACACACCCACACAACCACACCACCTTAACCACACACCCACACCACCTTAACCACACCCATACCACCTTAACCACACCCACACCACCTTAACCACACACCCACACCACCTTAACCACACACACCCACACCACCTTAACCACACACCCACCACCTTAACCACACACCCACACCACCTAACCACACACCCACACCCTTAACCACACACACCCACACCACCTTAACCACACACCCACACCACCTTAACCACACACCCACACCACCTAACCACACACCCACACCACCTTAACCACACACCCACACCACCTTAACCACACACACCCACACCACCTTAACCACACACCCACACCACCTTAACCACACACACCCACCACTTAACCACACACCCACACCACCTAACCACACACCCCACACCACCTTAACCACACACCCACACCACCCCAACCACACACCCACACCACCTTAACCACACACCCACACCACCTAAACCACACACCCACACCACCTTAACCACACATCCACACCACCTTAACCACACACCCACACCACCTTAACCACACACCCACACCACCTTAACCACACACCCACACCACCTTAAACCACACCCACACCACCTTACCACACACACCCACACCACCTTATGTGTAGCAAGGTAATGTACCTTCGTCACCTAGCGTTGCCTGCTGGCGGTACAGAGAGAGGCTAGTACATGATGTGTGGCTGGTGGGTGTCTGCCATTATTCCAAGGGGGAGGAAGGAGTAGACGAGAGGTTGAGTGGGGGCGGCGGGGGCGGCGGGGGCGGCGGGATCGTCACATTCAGATACACATTTAGTGTTTTTCCTTATCGTTTATTTCATTTAATTTATTTATTTCTAACTATTTTTTAAGAGTACATGAGAGTGTAGGAGATAGGTAATCGTGGAGGGGAGGGAGGGAGGGGGAAGGAGACAGGAGGGGGAAGGAGACAGGGAGGGGAGAGGAGGAGGCTACTGCTGCGCGGGGACGTTCTCCTGTGTGGCGCCGGGGAGGGTGGGGGTGGGGGGCGCGGCACGTGACCCCCAGGCGCGCCCTGTGTCTCTCTCTCTCTTTTCTCTCTCACTCTCTCTCTCTCTCTCTACGTTTGATCTACATCGTTTTTCCTACATCTCTTTCCGTCTGTCTGTGTCTGCTTACCTGTCTGGTTGTCTGTGTCTGCTTACCTGTCTGGTTGTCTGTGTCTGCTTACCTGTCTGGTTGTCTGTTTACCCGTGTGTCTGTCCTGACCTTGTTAATGGCACAATCTCTTTATCTCTTCTTCTACCATGTACTCTCTTTATCTCTTCTTCTACCATGTACTCTCTTTATCTCTTCTTCTACCATGTACTCTCTTTATCTCTTCTTCTACCATGTACTCTCTTTATCTCTTCTTCTACCATGTACTCTCTTTATCTCTTCTTCTACCATGTACTCTCTTTATCTCTTCTTCTACCATGTACTCTCTTTATCTCTTCTTCTACCATGTACTCTCTTTATCTCTTCTTCTTCTACCATGTACTCTCTTTATCTCTTCTTCTACCATGTACCTCTTTATCTCTTCTTCTACCATGTACTCTCTTTATCTCTTCTTCTTCTACCATGTACTCTCTTTATTCTCTTCTTCTACCATGTACTCTCTTTATCTCTTCTTCTACCATGTACTCTCTTTATCTCTTCTTCTACCATGTACTCTCTTTATCTCTTCTACCATGTACTCTCTTTATCTCTTCTACCATGTACTTTATCTCTTCTTCTACCATGTACTCTCTTTATCTCTTCTTCTACCATGTACTCTCTTTATCTCTTCTTCTACCATGTACTCTCTTTATCTCTTCTTCTACCATGTACTCTCTTTATCTCTTCTTTCTTTTCACGTCTATGATAACCTCTCTCTCTCTCTCTCTCTCTCTCTCTCTCTCTCTCTCTCTCTCTCTCTCTCTCTCTCTCTCTCAGCCCAGATTAAAGCCGTCATTAGCCATTACAACATCACACTCCTTATATCAAACTTTTAGCCCAACCTTCCTTAATGCTCTAAAGTTCTAAACAGTCATCATCCTTGCCAGGTAGTCATCAGTCATCATCCTGCCAGGTAGTCATTAGTCATCATCCTGCAGGTAGTCATCATCCTTGCCAGGTAGTCATCATCCTTGCCAGGTAGTCATCGTCCCTGCCAGGTAGCCATCATCCTTCCCAGGTAGTCATCAGTCATCATTCCTTCCAGGTAGTCACCAGTCATCATCCTAGTCAGTTAGTCATCATCCTTACCAGGTAGTCATCGGTCATCATCCCTGGCAGGTAGTCATCGGTCATCATCCCGCCAGGTAGATCATCAGTCATCATCCTGCCAGGTAGTCATCAGTC